CACCCTGCAAAGTGAAAGAGTTGAACAAAAATCCTCTGTGGAATGTGAGTAGACATATTGTTAATTGTCTCCTGTGCCAAGAGGATTTTCTCTAGGTTTTCTAGTTTCCTTATATCAACACCACCTCAAGCAGCTTCAGCACATTTAATGAGAATCCTCAGAATGGATTTTATGTGAATAGTAAAAACTTCAGTACATTAATAAGCTGCACAGTATCCAACATGATTTTTTTTATATAAAGACAATGATTTATTATCATTATTCCTGCTCATCAGGCTCCCAACATCTGAACATTCCTGAAATTATTTCAGCTCCCTAGGGAGTAAATGGCTCAACCACTAGACACGTTAACCATCTCAGCCCTCAAAGGTGCCTGTTTAACCCTGGGTTGAGAGAGGCACATAGGAATCAAATGACCTGCCTTAGATGACAATGACCTTAAGGTTGGAAGCCACAAACCATGACCGCATGTCTCTATGAACAAGAGGAAGATACCGTAACCTTCAGAATATAAGCAGCGGCTTATACCTTGATTCTCACACTGAAAAATGTCCCTGTGGCTTATACTCTGGCAGCTTTATATACAGAATGAAATTAGTTACTGAAACCACTGGCTGGCCAGTGTATCATAATGTGTATCAATGTATCATAAGTACTGTTCACACCTCACAAATCGAGTGGTGCATCTGTTTTTGTCTGTTTTATGGTTGTGTAATCCATGCTGTTTATTATTTCACTGGTCATTTGGTGACTGTGGAAATAAAAGAACAAAAAGGACTGCTGCATGGCCCACCCAGTAAGGACACTAATCCAGCCCGCCAAAATGGGAAATTTTGAGGTCTTGGGAAATTTTAGGTTTAACAGCAACATTTGCTCACGAGCTGCTTACACTTGAAGACTGCATACTTGAAAGTGGACTCTATCGTTGGGCACTTTGAGTTGTTGTCTCTAACGCTAGTGTATTATTGGAGTTATATTTTACCTCAAATTTCACCAAAGGTGAAAATTAATCAAACTTCAAATATTCCAATTCATAAATGTCGAATTCTGATACCTGCTACAAAGTTCAAATGAAATTTAATTTTGGCCTGATTGTCCAATTTTTTCCAAAGTGCACAATGAACTCTTTTGATATGCGCCCCCAAACCAAATAATTTGTTAACAAGTTTTCTAGTTGGGCATGTGAGTGAAGGTAATAATAATTTACTAGAATTTATCAATTTTTAAAACCTTCTGAAATATTTTGTGAGATTTTTCTGAGATTCTTTCAAGGGAGACAGGTCAGGGATCACTAAGCTGAATTCATGAATTCAATTTCTGAATGCTGATGTGTTAGAATTTCAGACAAAATTCTGTAACACTGAAATTGCTCACAAAGGTTCAGAGGCCTGTATCATGAAAGAAATAGTTTGAACCTTAAAAAAATGGATTTGCAGTTTTTCAACACAGAGGTTTGGCAGCATTTTATGAAGTAAGTCAAGTGAATGTTAAGTGCGCCACATAGATGTAATGCTTCAGCATGCAACATGTGTGATGACTTAGATGTATATAGTTGGACACTGTCAGCATTGTGGTGTGGCTATTTTTGCTTGGTGTGGCTTATACTTTGAGTGGCCTATATTCCAAAAATTACAGTAAGCCTCTTTGCAGTATTAAGGGAACAAATACAACTTATGAAAAAGCATACACTCTTTGCATGTAAATTTTTAATTCTATAACTTCACCCATTAACTCTCAAATAAGTCAGTGTAGAGTATTTTTTTTTAGAATTTGTGTTACATAAATTTATCAATCATAATTATGATCTATTATGAAAGGAAATCCTGACTACAAACAACTGGACTTACCTTTGGTCCAACTGGACCAGGATCACCTGCAAATCCCCTTGGACCCTCAGGACCCTGGAAATGAAAGCAGGGTCATTGAAGGATTCAGCTTTTAATTATTTTGCTTGGAACAGGACCAAGACATTTCCATGTGGACTGGGGACCTCGGTACATGTATGTACAGTGAATGACACTATATGACCAATCTGGACAGCTTTACCCTGGGGCTCACGCCCATGTGTGTGTGTGTGTAACATTTCATGAGAGTATGGCATCAGGTATATTCCACTCATTTGTTGTCTATATGCAAAGAAAAAACACCGGGCTGTTACAGTGTCTGTCACACGTTTTTTAACTCTCCAAGAACACCAGTGACTTTCCTGTAAGCTGCATTCAAGACCAGCCCAAAAAATTCATATATTCCAAATGATTGTGTTCCCTTAAGTTCATTAATGTGTATCTGCACCATTGTGACTTAAATGTGCAGGACATCTAAGAGGACAAAGTGGAAACAGCATTGAGATTACCTGGTTGAAGTACATGCATGTACACTGCTTGTAAATTGGTCACCAGAGATATTTATTGAAAAGAATTTCCTTTCCAACAGCTCAGTGAAACATAACATCATAGCAGCAATTCTTATTGAGGGGTAACAGAAACAGAAAACATTTAGTTCATGTGAAGTATTTTAAAATAACAATAAATATGTAACTATTTGAAAAACATCATAAATTTAATGTATTCTCCATTAATAGTGACCTCAGTTCAAGGTAGAAATTGAAAGACACAGTCCTACTGTGTGTTTTTTGAACTGAGACAGTGTTTGCCCTGTTGGCCAAGCAACATCAAACACAACGTGGTCTGTTGAAGCGTGTAATACTGCATGTACTGTGCACAATGTACACGGTCCATGTCAGCGTTCTGGTGATGACTTCATCCAATCAGCCTTGGAATGTCAACAGCCGAAAGAGGATTTCTTTGTGGGCGGGGAAATGCAGGATCGTTTACTTCCTATTGGGGTCACAATTAATGGGGTAAACATTAAATTTACCATGTTTTTGAAATGGTTAGGTATTTATTTTTATTGTNAAAATACTTCACATGAACTAAATGTTTTCTTTTTCTGTTACCCTTTAGCAGAAAAGAACCATCTCCTATGCACCCCAAAATTAAACTGCACACTCACTAACAGAGGTGAGTCTGGTGAGAAGTTTTTCAGACTTGGTTGTGCATGTGCACAGTGCTGTGTATTCACTGTAGATTCAAATACAACTGGTGGTGCATGTTCAGCACATCCTGCACTAAATGTGCATAAAGATGTGTGCACACACTTTGAGTTCCCATCAAGCAACTGTCATTGCTATGTAAAAACATACCTCTCTTGTTCTAACTTGAAGGGAATAGTGAACAACTTATGTCACTAGCCAGTGAATTTCACTGCCCAGATGGGCTAATACATTGTCTCGATTTCTAATGCAGCCTCAATGTATTGAGAAAATTCTGTGCCTTTGGGAGCTTTCTGCTCACAATTTGTATGAAGCAGGCATAAATTCACATTCTCAGCAGTCAGACAAGGGTGGATTGGGTGGAGGCAACAAGACCATGCCTTCCCAAAAAGAAGCCAAATTAAAATTACCTCAAAAAGCATGTAAAAACTCCCTAATGAGGCATCTCCAGTCTGAGGCCCAAAAAAGTTACATGATTAAAATTCCATATTTTTGGTCACTCCCCCAAAAAAACATTTGGTTCTTGATCTGTCCCTGTAGTTTGAGTTCTCAAGCCCATAGAAGAAACCTAGCAAAGTTTTGCTTGTTTTCCACCATGTTTCAATGAATAGCTGCAAAACTTTAAAATTTGGTTGCTAGGTAAAAAATTTTGAGAGCTACATCTACATTAACCACTTTGTGGCGGGCCGAGCTATTGACATTCCTATTGATATTCATGCTGCTGGGCCGGGTGCTTTGTCATTTTTTTTTTTCATTGTTCAAAATTCTTCAAAAATTCTGTCTTCATTTATTGAACGCGTACACCCAAAAGAATTGCAGTCCTGTGACAACTCTAATCTGACAGGCAACCTCCATTGATGAGTGAATATTGCACCCACGCATGCTGCCCAGTAAAGAGTCATGGTTAACATGAAATTTCATCTCAAACAATCTTTTCTCAACATGGGAGAAGCTGTCTATGAACGTCTAAAATTGTTCCAATCAACAGTGGAAAAAGAAACCTATAATTGCCAAAAAAGCACAAAACCTTAACTACAAACTTGAGGGCTGAAGAGGACCTGAATCCATGCTTTCCCCCTCCCCTAAATATTTGTAAAATGTCACAAGGTTTAAACTTTAGAACTTGACCAATGCTAGAGAGTATAGTGAGATTGAGTCCAGGTTTGCAGGGATGTAGTATTTTTCTTGAGTGGAAGAGCAGAGGTTGTAGTCTTACCATTGGGCCCATGGGTCCACCTTGGCCTTGTGGGCCTTGTTCTCCTGGATCACCCTTGGATGAAGACAGAACATTATTACAAGTGTTATTATGAATTCTGTTACAGAGCGACAGTGAAAAAAAAAACAGATAAGGGCAACAGCAGCATCAACTTCACTAAAAATCAAATCCATTAAGAACACTGAAGCCCATCTCACGCCTTTCTGATTTTACTTTACTAGGTCATTGGACCATTGGATGTACCTATGGAACTGGTGTAAACTGCAAAATCAAATGGAGTTAACAGTACATTGAGTGACCAGATGAAATCAAATTTTTTTCAACTGACTGCAAGGGGTTGGACATTACAAGAACGGTGCGCTGGTAGCCGGCACTCTAATTTCACCAGACACAATATTAATGTAAACAAATCAAATTGAAGTAAGAGGTCACATGGCAGTGCCCACAGAAACAGACACTAAATAGACAAATTCTCTTGAAGAAAATTTATTTAATCTGCAATAATATATGCGTGACTGCATGACAGCCCAAGAACTATGCAACAGAAAGAAACTTTAACATTTGATATTTGTATATTTAATACTACTGTAGTAGTAAGTTGATGGGAAGCTACAAGACTAGTAAGTGAAACAAATCAACACAATCATGAAAGTCACCCAAGAATGCAGGCAAAACTTAAAATCCATTTTTTAAAAAAAGTGTTTCAGCAAAGAAGAATACTTCTACTTCTAAAGTATTTTCCTTGTAATTTTTCATGTTCACCTAAAGCCAAAATGATGAGACAAGCCACTTACTTCAGGCCCTGGTAGGCCTCTGAGACCCTGTGGACCTTGTGGTCCAGGAGCACCCTGTGGAAAAAGACACAAACACGCATTAAGCAGAGATAATAAGGGGGAGCACAATGCATTACAAATCCACTGACAAATATTGTTCTTAGAGAATAATATGTAAAATCAAAGACAAATGTGCACAATAAGTGATCAATTTGATTCCATGAAAGGCTGTTTACAAATGGACAGAGTCAGGAATGACTAACACCTCATAATTGTGTGATGTCAAGGGATTTTATGTCAAGAAAGATAATACCAAGAGATGGGTGAAGGGGCAGAAGGGATTGACAAATAAAAACTATAATCCCTATAAGGGTGTTTAAAAAATATGAGCTTATATTTTTGATTTCTGTACCTTCTGAAAGTTACTTTTCTGTGACACTAGCTGCTCCAACCTATTATTGTAGACTACTTACCGGAGCACCAGGGGGTCCGATATCACCTCGGACACCGGGTGGTCCAATGTCTCCTGGATCGCCTTTGGGTCCTGGCTCACCAGGAGCTCCATTCAAACCTGGTTTACCCTAGCTCACAGATAAAGCAACACATATATCAATCTCCATGAATGTTAAAAAGGTTTGGATTCACAGATTTCAAAAGGACAGTTAGGTTATAAAATACAAGATGAATGTATTGCTAATCAGCAAGAAACCGTGAAAAGGTTCAAGTGACTGTGATTTAGAGACCAATATAAATACAACGTGAATTCCCTTGTGTAAACTTCCACTGGCTAAAAATGAGCATAAAATGTTCCCTGTGACGTAGATTTCAAGTTATAAATTAACATTATCACACTTGTCAAGAATAAAGTGGTTGATTAATTAACGGTGTAAGACCTTCTCACCTCGAACAGCAATGTGGTACCCGGGACATGCTTTGGTCACACATATTTTGCTGTAAAATGGGACTCATAAATTACATATTCCCAGTTCTTTCTGAATGAATTCGATGGAAACTCTCTAAGGCAGGGCTGTAAATACATTTGGGTGGGGGGCACTTTGCACCCATAAATGACATTTTCACGCCTCTTTCTGAAGACAACACAAGCCAACGGATGGCAGAAGGCACCACAGGCTGCCTGTTTGGGCATTCTGGGTTTTTCCCCACTCTGCTTGCGCCAGACACCGCTCTCAGCTCAGCGCTGCCAGGCCGGGCTGGCCCAATAACAACAAGGTCAGACAGAGGGCAATAAACTGTCTGTTGTGGCATCAGAAATACAGCTCCAGACACACTGATGATCCCAAACAGTGTCTCATTGGTCTAAATTCACTGGCCTGATTCACTAGTACAATAGGGGAGAGGGTATTTTCTTCACAACTATGTGCAGTGGGGATTGTGTATGCGAACACATGCTGAGAGATTGGACATGGGATGTTTCAGGCTGGCTTCAGTGACTGCCTGGGGTGATCCCAAGATTGAACCCCCCTACAAAAGTAGCAACACAAAGATTTAGGAGAAGTCCTGGGGGGGGCTTCGTTAGGACATGTGCAGCATTTGGAAAAACAATCAGATCAAGTGATTTGTGACCAAAAGCAGTCCCGCCTCTCACACTTAAGAGTTGATTAAGGATAATGAATGAAACTGATGTATCTCTTAGACAAAAAACATGAAATTGTTTACAAGTTGCCAAACTCTGCTAGTTTTGTACTATTTTGTAATATTAATCAAAGGCTGTAAATACTAAGAGAGATAATGTGCCAATGCTTACCGGTTTCCCTCGTGGACCAGGGCGTCCGATGTCACCAGGTGGTCCTTGTGGCCCCTAGAAAGATGACAATAATCACAGTGATGATTACACATAGGTCAAGCCATACAGAACACTGTAAAAAATGTGACCATGTCATACAAGTATTCAGTACCAAACTTAAACATCATATTCACAATATTTAGATATCCTTGTATGAAAAACTAAACATGCAACATATTGTTCACAGTCCACCCAGATGTACAGTCAATACAGTCAACAGCCCACCTCCAAGAGTTTGCAATGCATTGGCCAATCACAATGCACAAAATCTGTCAACCCTTTCCAAACGTGCATTGGAAAGACAGATTTTGTGCATTGTGATTGGTTAACATGTTGCAAAATCTTGGAGGCATGGTATTGTGAAATGCCGGTATTCCGATTAAGGAACAGTTATATATTGTAGGAAGTTCCCAAACATGAATATCTTCGTTTTATTTATTTTTTGAATGCCAGGAGCACTTCCAGAGAGCATTGCTCTACTTCAAGAACACTTTCATGAAAAGGATGAACGGAGTTTCAAATTAATATTATTTCACTAAAGTTGATTTTCTGTCAGCAGGAATTCTGATCATGGATTCCCTATTTTAAACAGTGGCATATTCCAATTCCACTAGCTGAGTCAGTTGTCAATGATGTTCCTGTTAGGCCTAACATTAAATTGGTTAAGTTGAATATCCACAGCTGTGATGCCCTATTCAATGCCAAAGTGGCCTTGCACTAAAAATTACCAAATTCAAGGCCAGGACTCATTTATTTTGATATTCATGCGCAAACTCTGATGTCATCTAAAGAAGAAGCCTCAATGCTACATTTCATTTTTGTAGATTTTGCTGGACTCAGTGTTTTCTTTTTTGCTGATTCATTACTGTTTACATGCAAAGAAATAAGCGAGAATCAATCCCTTTTTTAGAAATGGTTTCAGTAAGTAAATTCTGGGTTCACCATTTGAACTGAAAAGCTTATGCACTGAATTCTGTGCTCCCCAGATGACTTCACAGCAATAGCGCCCTCAGTTGTTCAGGAAAGCATGGATAATTCTAATTGTTTAAAAAGTGCACTTCCAATGCATTTAACCTAATAGGTGAAAGACTTTTCACACACTGAAAAAGAATATACAGTTGAAGAAAAATTATTTCTAAGAAACATTAATTGCAGCTACAATAATGTAATTGATTGAAATGTACATTTCTGACATGAAAGGAAATTACTACCGGTTACATCCAGCAATCACTTATGCTATAAGCTCATGTCCATATATACTTTCTGATGACAGTAATCACACACAACCACAAGTAACTTATCACCTAGCAGTTGACATGTTAGTGGATGCCCAACAATCAACCACTTCTTATATCATAAGTGGATCCTAAATCAGTGAATCATCCAACACTACTCACAGGTCGTCCTGGGTCACCATCCTCTCCATCTTCTCCTGGATCGCCCGGTCTGCCCTACAACAAAAACACAGGAAGAAAAGTATGCCAAGTTAATAAACATGCACATCTATGACAGTATGTACCGACGTGCACAAAAGCATCTAAGAAGCTGCAATATTTGCCATTGGCGCATACAGAATAAAAACAAAAATACCAACAAATCCAAACCACGTCTAAAAAATAATTGTTTCCATCCAGAGGGGTAACTCTCTCAGCTGATGTACTTCTTACTTATTTAAAAAAATCCAAATGCCAACTCATTAGAATGAAATAACTAAAATAATAAACACAGGACTTCTGAAAAGCAATAATATTAATGATAATAATACATTTTTATGGCACCTTATGTAAAATACCCCAAAGTGCCTCACAAGAACAATAAAACCAGGACGATAAATACATAAAATTAAACAAGAGAAACCAAAATTAAGGTGCAATTTAGAATGCAAGATTAGAACAAAATTCAAAATTACTTACAACATTAAGAGAATTACAAGATTACTTAATTTTAAGTACAACTTGAAATAAGTGACATGTATTGCCAAGTAAAAAATTGGTTAAAACAACAGGCGTACATTTAAGTAAAACAAACAGTGAAGGCTCTCAAAAGTACAAAGGTAACTCAAGTTGAAAATAAATGAATCTTAAAAGGAGACTTAAACTGTTCTGGGAGTCTGTTTGTTGGAGTTTGGTTTGCAAACTGTTCCATTGGTTGCAGATGGCATGAGAGAAGCATCGCTCACCACAGAACTCTGTGGGCATTTTACGGGTGGAGGATATAGGCAGACTTCATTACAGGAACACAAATTCCAGGGCAGTAAACCAAGTTAAGTCAGATATATATTGAGGAGAGTGACCATGAATGGCCTTGTATGTGGTCAGAAGAATTTTGAATATGATCCTTTTTCTGACACGTAACCAGAGAAGCTGATGTAAAAGCAGCGAGCTTTGCCCTCTGCAAGATGATTTAAAACCAGATGAGCTGCAGTATTCTGGACCTGCTGCAGTTTACCAACCTCATTTTCTGCAATAGAGCAGTGAATTGCGACGCTCTTGTTTAGGGGTGAGAAGCCAGTCGCTGTATCATGGTGCATGAGAATGGTGTATGATAGATTGATCCATCCAAGCAAATCTACGTTTTCCTTAAAATTTACTTCTTCCAGGTGAGAACTCAACTTCTCCATTCATTAAACAAATGAACTATGTTTACAAGGCCAAGAAAGCAACATTATTGGCAAAGCATATTTTCATTCCTGCATTGCGTGTTGGTGCATGATGCAGACAGTTGAGTGTGATTAGCCTCAGCTTCAACTATGCCTTACCCACAATATTTTGTATAAATCCCTACCTAATCCTGGGCCACTCTATTCAGTGTTGTGTTAGAAAGTTGACAAAAGACCTCAATTTTACAAACTTAGTTACTCAATTTGTTTAGATGGACACCCAAAAAGCAAGACATGTCAAACTTTATTTGCAGTACAGTATGTGTTTAGGGTTACTTACAGGTGTTCCAGCATCACCAGCTTCTCCAGGTTCACCTGGGAAACCAATGGGTCCCTGTAAAGAAGGAAAGGAACATTGAAAAGTCAGAATACAGGTGAAGTAAAAGAAGACTGATTTTCAGTATATAGTAAACAAGATATCGAATGCAAGAATTACATACATACATTAGTGAATTAATGTTTAAAGGGCCCATGAAAGGTGGTTTTTATTAGTTAAAATTGAAACTTGTGTGTTTTTAAAACAATATCCAGAATGTAAAAGTCGTTGTTTTTAGTAACAAGTGGGAAAAAATTAAAACAAATATTTTGGGCGAAACTGCCCTGCCCCTGAAAGGTATCACATTAACACAGAAAATTTGCATATTTGAGATGACATTGTTGTGTGCTGCTAGCACGTCAATGCTTGTCATGGGTCATGTTTGGAAATAAGGTCCGATTTTTGGGCGAGTTTAGAGATCATGCTCGCCTGATTTGTTGCTGCGGCCTGCAGCAACACCTATAAAGATTGGACAAGCCTGCATAACTTTCCAATCGAAGCAAAATTTAGATGAATTTGGACATTGAATGTCAGCTGAGCAGAGCCAAATGGTCAGGACTGGCAGCTAGCTCCAAACTGTGCAGTGCGCATTAACGGCCACAGTGTTTTCTCCAAACTGTGCAGTGCTCATTAACGGCCACAGTGTTTTCTCCGAACTGTGCAGTGCTCATTAACGGCCACAGTGTTTTCTCCAAACTGTGCAGTGCGCATTACCGGCCACAGTGTTTTCTCCAAACTGTGCAGTGCGCATTACCGGCCATAGTGTTTTCTCCGAACTGTGCAGTGCGCATTACCGGCCATAGTGTTTTCTCCGAACTGTGCAGTGCGCATTACCGGCCACACTGTCTTCTCTAAACTGTGCAGTGCGCATTACTGGCCACACTGTCTTCTCCAAACTGTGCAGTGTGCATGACCGGCCACACTGTCTTCTCCAAACTGTGCAGTGTGCATGTCCAGCCACACTGTTTTCTCCAAACTGTGCAGTGCGCATGTCCAGCCACACTGTTTTCTCCAAACTGTGCAGTGCGCATTACTGGCCACTGTGTTTTCTTCAGAACATGTACGACTTGTTTGGGATTAAATTTAAACAATTGCTAATGAAGTCAGATACTGCGCCTAGAGTCTTTGGGAAATCAAAGAAAGCCTGTGAATAAAATTGAAGAGGAGCTTTTATGAAATGCAGATAACAAAGGGCAAGAAATGCTTCCAAATCAGCCCTGGCTTTCCACTCAATATACTCATGTGTGACTGCCCATATGGTGGTTGTACTGCATGGGCACATACTTTTACAGGGCGTGCGTGGGCATCATATATGTGGACATGTACATGGACGTGTACTTTATGCTCAAAACATTCCACGGGCACGTAACTCGTACATGTCCAATGTCCGTGTTTCTCTTCATTCCAGACATACCAAAAGGTTCCCTGACTATAATTGTGGGGTCTCAAATGTAAGTCACACAAAACACCATCATCTGTCAGGATTAAAACATTCATTTAAGCGGTCAGTAAAATTAACCACAACAAAAGGAATTGTATTCCATATTTACCTCCCCTATCATGTAACTGGCATACTCGTGAATATTTTAAACAAATAAGTAACATTTTGTCTACAGAGGTCTTCATAGACCCTTTAACAGTGAGGAGAAAATATGTGAAGAGATATGCATGTAACTTAGACAGCACTTATTTCTTTAACTTACTGGATTACCCTTAGGACCCTGTGGTCCTTCAGGCCCAGGGGGTCCAATGGGGCCAGGGAAACCGGGACTGCCTGGCTCCCCTTTGTTGCCAGCATCACCTTTGGAACCCTGACAAATGACAGAAAGAAAACTCATATACAAATCCATATTATGAAAACTAATAGCACTTGGGAAAATTTCCTTATGGCATGCAAAGCCTTCAACAACTTGAAGGAATGCTGCCAAACCTCATGTAAGGTGCACTCAACCACATATGATCAACGTGAAAAGGTGAGTTAGCCCAACTACATCATATCAACTCAACCTCATATCCATTAAGAGGCAAAAACATATGCACAGGGCCGAAGTCAACACACCAAGCCTCGTATGAACTACTTGCCTACTTCATTAACTCAAAATGATGTTTCTGAACATTGGGATTGACATCTAAGCTTTGGGATCTTTGAGAGGTCTGACAAAAGTCATGTGAGATATTTCAATCTTCGTCAGCATAAACCAACAGCACTCAGCTTCTCTAAGAGACAAACTTCATGAAGTATATATGACTTCAGCCACAATGCATTAGAATCATTGTTTCAAAGTTTGTGTTACCACACATTGTTTCTGCATCCACAAAATAAAATGAGTTCTAATTTATGGAAATGAAATAAACCTATCTGTAAACCTACTGGGGGTCCTGTCCTTCCAACTCGTCCTGGGATGCCAACAGATCCTTTTTCACCCTTTGGATAATAAGAAGTTGATGTTAATCTGTCAAATATTATCAGCAACAAAGAAAACTTGCTAATATAATAGATAAGTGGCTTTCTCATCAAATTTCATTTGCTACCTTAACAATAATGATTCTGATTAATTGGTACCCAGTGTTTGTAGCTTTGATTGAGTCTTTCTGGGGGGGGTTTCTGATTAATTGGATATTTGATTCGTCATTGAATAACTTTATTTTTGAAATTGGAGGTGAAAAAAAAACCCAGAAAAAATTTATTTATTTGGGCACAAAATTGCATTCTAAAGCACATTTCAAATATAATGTTTTTTAATTGTTCAAGGGCAGCTGAATGCATGCAAAAAGTTTCTTGTTTAGTTTTTCATATTTATGTAAAAATACTCATATATCTGCTTTGAAATAATTTGGTACAACCAAATGATCAACTGGGAGGTTGAGTATTCAATTACTGAATTGACTCAACCCAGTAAGTCCTTGATCATGCTTGATTGCAACTTACCAAAGGACTGCATCTGTATGTGATTTACAGTATTCAGCAAAACGTTCACTCACACTCGATTGAAAATTATAAATATGGCACTGTAATATTTCAAAGTTCAATCACAAAACTCAATTTTCTATTAACAGGTCTGACAATCATACTGCAAAATGTATTCTTTGAAATCAATTTTTTGTTTTAAAAGAAATGAACTGACCACAGCAAATTAAACTCTTTATTTGCTTCACCGTTTGTTGGAGATGGCACCCCATGAGACATACCTTTTGGCCCATAGTACCGTCATTTCCTCTCCGTCCTGGTAGACCTTGGGCACCCTTAAAACACAAAGGACAAGGAGATTCACTAAAATGCCACTTACTGATAACAGGAAGGAGTACAAGTGGAATTAATAGCAAAGAAATGGCTCATCTGGCAAAGCATCAATTGATTTGAAAAACTGCCTCAAGACATTTGTAGAAATACAAACAACCATGCATACACATAAAAACATCAAATGTAAAACAACCACACATACGCACCATTTTGGACTCTGAACAATCTTTCAACCCCACTTTCCACATTCTTCTTTAAAACAGACAATGCTGTATACTCAGTATATCCAGAGTGTTTGGGGAAAGCTTTCAAAGATTTCCTGGACAGGACTGGAAGCCACAAGTGCTGGCTTACTATGTCTTAACTACTTTAATTTCCAAGCTCATAAATGGAGCTGCTGCACTCACCTCAGCACCAGGTGGTCCTCTCTCACCACGCAGACCAATCCGACCAGGCAGACCCTACATTATTCAAGGCAGAAAAACTTAAGTATATTACAAGGCTAGATAAATAACTGCTTCTTGATAACTTGTTACTCTTTATCACTGGCACACATGTTTTGCTCATAGTAATGCAAAATTTTGGCAATGTATCAGTTGAGTAAATAGTTGTGTTTTTGTTATTCATTCTTGTCCTCATTCTTCCACTTTAGTGCTGATTAAATATGTCACACACAAAATCTTTACAAGTCAAACTTCCATGTTAGTTTGTTACATCGGGTGAAATTTCTCCAGAAAATTCTTTATTTGATGGTGCTCAAACTTCTGCAAATATTTCAAATTACAATTGAGAACAAGTACTTCCTTCTCAATGATGTGGGGTTCAACCACTGTTTTCACAAATGTCCTTTCACATTTCCACCAGCCTGATCCACCCTAGTGCCATTGTTAGCATGAGTCTTCCACAACTTGGTTAGAATGCATATGCATACTTACAGTGATCCCAGGATCACCTTTATCTCCCTTGGGTCCGTTAGAGCCTGGTAGACCTTGCACCCCAATTGGTCCTGGAGAGCCAGGCGTACCAGTTGGGCCTTCCTCACCCTACAAAAGAAAAAAATGCTAATGACAATTGAAGCATTTGCTTAATTAAGGAAAAACACTCACAAGAGTGTTATGATAAAAAACAAGAAGATATTGCATACCTTGGGACCTCTTAGACCCATTTCCCCTGGTACACCTGGATCACCATCTTCTCCCTAGTATGTGAAAACAGATAAATTACAAACAATTGTAAGTCCTAACATCTAAAATAAATAGGTAACCATCAGTCAAGAGATGTCTTGTATTCCTTCGAGATTCTTCATTGATTCATTTGCAATTGTCGACTCATCATGATGGTCTTCAAGACTGTGCTTTAACCTGTACATTGTTTCTTTTAATATAAAATATTGTATTCTTGAAAAAGAGAATAAATATGTGCTTGGCCGGTTTTAAACATACATTTAAGGCCGGTTCAGGAAAATGGATGAGACTCATGTCCTTGCCCGCGGCTGGGGTATTAGTCACGTCCATTCTCCTGAACCAGTCTTAAACATTACAATCACAAATTTATTCCCATTCATAACTGCCTTCTTTAGTCAGAGAGTCAAATGAAATCAATATATAATAGATTTCCAATGATTGTGTTCTACAATTTTACTTTCATTATCCCAGACACCCCCATCCATTAGTATGGTATATTCCTTGTGCAAGTTGAACAGAAGAATTTCCATATATGGACTCATATATGGTGCTTTCTGTGTGCAGGGTCACCTCAGTGGGCATTAGCAAATGTTAATACATGGTCACATTACGCATTGTTGAATAGAAAAACTATCTGAGGTATTTATGACTACCAAATACTGTATAATTGAATTCACTATATATGAAATAAGTTTACCTGGTGTCTCGCCAGAGTTGTGGGTGCTAAGTGGGCATTCTTATTTTAATTGTCTTTGGGGAGTTTTTTTGGTGGGGGGGGGTGGTGGTGGTTTGCTTCTTCAAGAACATTATAAGATTATTTTCATTGATTTTAATAACTACTCTTGTCTTGCCTTATCTCTTTATGATGATTTTGAATAATAAGATGAGCTGGAAGGAGGGGTATGTTTTGATTTAATATCATCTTTTATTTCAGCAATTTGCTAATTTCTCAATCAGTTCTCATTTTTATTCATTTATTGTTGTCATGACATCTTGTACATATTTTGTTTTATGTATTTTTGTAGAGTGTGGACCCAAAATGATCAGCTTTCATTGGATGGGTTACTCTAATTAACCACTTCGTGCCAGGGCATTTTTCAATGTTGATGATGCTGGGTCGGCATGACTATCATTTTTTCCGTTTTCAAAATCCTTCAAAAATTCATCATTTCACTTAACGATTGTTTATAGCCGCACGAAGTAATCTTTAGGCACTACTCTAAGTTGACAGGTGACCTTCATTGACACCCAAGTATTTCAGCCAGGCCTGCAGCCTTGTAAACAGAGCCCAGATTGTGCGATGTTATATAACTGTCTTTTGTTCATGAACCTGGCTTAGTGCACTGCTGACCTCTTTTCAATAGGGGCCAGATTAGCGTGCAGTGGTGCTGTGTGGTTCATCCCTGCGGTGGTGGAGCGCTTTTGTCCCCAGTGGTAATCCGCTTGCTCTCAATGCCCCAAACCCTGGTATACGGTTTCAAAACAAGGCTGGATTATCACCACTTTTGAGAGTGAAAAATGTTGGTAATGCCCAGCAGCCTGGTCTTTTGTTCGGAGTACGGTCTTTTGTTACAGGGCCCTGTTTCCTTTGTCCGAGTTTGGAGACCCCGGCCACGCATATAAACCATATGTCTCTGATTCCGGAGTCCCCGGCAGGAAGTGGTTAACCAATCAAGAATATGTCTATGTCTTTGAAAAGAAAGTGAGTTCATCATGGGTTACTCCAACTACAGGTACAATGACAGTTTCAGTTTATAATAGGGGGTACCATGAGTCCAGTGGCAGCTCCACTAACCCATCAACCCATCAACCCATTAGTGGTGTAACTGAGGTTTTACTTGGGGGAGGGGGAGAAGCACCAGCTTAACCATTGAATATGAAGTGACAGTGACTCATTATTGATACATAAGTCCAATACTGATCTGATCAAGTGTATGCACATTTGTTTCGTTACTGGAACAAGGTCCAGCTACAAGTTAGCGCTCAACTGGATTGCTACAATCCTGGACAAATCTTGTTTGGCCTCCAACCCCCAGATCCCCTTTCAATGTTGGGTCTATTCACATGGTCTATGCTCCGGCTGGACATGACAACTTTGACCAAGGGAGTGGGGGAGGGGGCTGGAGAGTGTATGGCTATTGCCAAGTGTCGCAACAATTTTGTCCAGGATTGTCTGAGTTTAAGCATGCCTGTTTATGTGTGAGTGGGGAGGGTCTGGTTACTTAGCGTGTGCGTGAACCATTTCTGGCATTGGCCGATTTGAATTGACACTAACTTGAAATGAACATCAAATGCGCTGAATTTAGCCTTAAAACACCACAGGCATTGTCATGGTTAAATTTCTCCACCCTCACCCAACAGAGTGCATAGCACGTTCTAAAATAACAGGGTGCATGCGTGAGACATACAAGGGACGCTGCCAATGGTGAGCCAAAACTCATCATTAAAGAAGAACTTGCGTCTTTCCCTTTTTTTTGTTACTGTTTTCATGGATCATGGATGCATTTCTCGACAACATGACAGAATAACTAAAAACCTGGGGCACCAGGAGCTTGTATGGGGGGCAGTGGCTAGGATTTCACTAGTGGGGAGCATGGGGGAGGGAATCAGTATCTGATGGGGGGAGGGAATCAGTATCTGATGGGGGGAGGGCACCAGCTTTCTATGGTGTGTTGAGTCATTGTTTTTTGCAAATGTTTTTCCCTCTTACTCAATATCCGCTGACTTGAATTGTATTTATGCATGCCAACAAAACATCTCACAGAAGCGTGTCAATATTGCAACTTGCTAAAGCATGATTTAACTCTTTTTGGTTGGGGAAGAAACAGGTGGTATCTTTTTATTTACTATTATTTACTTACCGGTGGACCAGGTTCTCCAAGAGAACCTCGTTCTCCACGCAGGCCCATTGGTCCCTGAATTTAAATGACAAAAGTATAAACGATAATATTGTTGAGTTTACAAGTGGACCTGTAAATAACCTTTAACAAACCTGAAATGTTTAATACTTTTCTTTTCTATCTCTTAAAACAAACAGTATATAACTTGTTTAGAGAAACTTTGCAGAAACACTGCAGTTAATTTAAACAAATAAAAATGTACTACTGATCCCAAAGCAACTCTTAAATAAGAAGAGACAAGATGTTGCCACGATTTTCACGACCTTGTTTAATACTTTCGCTTTTATTTAATACACATTTTTTAAAGGATTGTAGTGTAATCCAGCTGCACTATTTTTTACTCCCACATGGGACAACTTCAACAGTGTTTTACCAATCTTTCAGCCAATTTACCCCTGCAATGCTAATTCCTATTGAAAAACTGTATTCTACTTCAATAAGAACGACTAGCATGCAGTAGTGATGTAGATATATCTGATCAGTTCAAGTGCTTGGCACACATACCTCAATACCCCTCTCTCCCTTTGAGCCCTTTGATCCAGGTGAGCCAGTGTCTCCTTTGTCTCCATCTTCACCAAGGGGACCTGTAAGCCCAACAGGACCTGGTAAACCCTGCCAAAAAACAGCACGTAAGCAATATTATATGGGTGTACACGACTCAATATCAAATAAATCAAAATACATCAAGGGCAGATTAGAGAGTAACAGTATTTAGAGACTAAGAACCCTTTCAAAAGGACTAAGTATCTACTGGGAAAGAACTGTGGAACATGTCGTGATTTCCACATTATTCCTGAATTGCTCGTAACCATTTATCTATGGCTAATGGCAAACGTAGTCAACACTGTCAAACAGATGCAACAGTCTATATGTCACACTCAGGTTCTGGTTTTATGTCTACCTTTCTTTAGTTGCGTTAATAAAGAGTGACAGTTACTTTTGTGTCTCATAAAGGAGGGATGTAACAAAAATATTGCTTCATCTATTTTTATGTCTTTAAAGAACTCTTTAATATAAAGATTCTTAATGTAATGTACATAGTAAGGTTCATTTTTCCTGTTTAATTTATTATTTTCTTGTAATTGTACAGTGTCAGCCTTCTAGCTTTCTGCAACAAATATTTCATAAATCATAATAATAATAATTAAGTGCAAATTTAATCTAAATGTTATTATGAAAATTACAGCCTAATGCAACTTCTGAGCACTTTACCCGTGGCTCTAAATACTGGCTTTGAGCAAAAATGTCTAAAGTTTCAACTGCATATCGAGACATAAAAAAAAACAACTCAAAATTAGCTTTTTAGTCTGGAAATACAAGATGTACAACAAATCTTGTGCAAATAAACATTATACTGTTGAAAAAGCTTACCCTTGGCCCTGGCATTCCATCTCGGCCAACTGGACCAACTGGTCCTGTCTCTCCCTACAAAGGAATCAGAAACTTGATCCAAACATATGCCATTTATATTAATGTAAATACAGATGAATGAAAACACTGTAGATACTGTAACTGTAGATGCAAGTGGGTGATGACTACTCTTGAAAACAACAGCAAATGTCCGCTTTGTATGTAAACAACAACAATAAATCAATAACAATGACAATATTGCAATAAAAAGTCCATGCAAGAAAAATGGCAATAGGTTCAGGGCAGCAAATATTGTCGAATGGAGTTTGAGTGATATTTGTAATTCAAATTGATATCACTACAAGAAGACCAAATAATTGTGTTCTACACACGGATTTAGTTTGGTGTCCCAAAGACTTGAAAGACCACCATTGTTTTTCCAATATACTTATCTTACTTTATCCTAAAAATGCAAAATTCTGTATTTAACTTGATGTATATAATACCTCTGTGTTCACCTCTTAACTAGTGAATGTATCCATGAAACAAGTAAAACACCAGCATTATTTCTGTGCTATGTGTCCAAATGGGTCATGTTCCTTTCTCATGAAAACATTTGTTCTTAGTTAATAATGTACACTTCACTTCTAAGGAATTCCAAAATGGTTATGAAAAAAAATGAGTATGGTGAGTAAAGTTTGATGAGATCGATCAGTGGAAATTGGTTTTCTGAGTACCATCAGTAACCTGTGCTTTTAAACATCATGCATGGAGCATATACTCACAGGTTCTCCCTTTAATCCTCGAGCTCCTTCTGGCCCTCTTTCTCCTGGACGACCCTTTGAATTAAGAAATAAAACCATGGCCCAAGCATGACAAACACAGACAAACCCACTCTCTCGGACAGGAAACTAATAAAAGAATGTTACTGAAAAATTATCAGTCAACATGGGCTGTCATTTTTAATAAACCAGTCTTTTTAAGCCAATTTTCCCAACAACTTGAACTTACATAATACTTCTATCTAAAAACATACAGTTTTTGCATATGTATGTTGCAAGCGAAATGAGTCTTTAAAGTTTACTTTCTTAATTTCAGACCTTATAATGGATATGTAACATCCTCATATTCAATTTGAGATGGTATTACCTGTAATCCTGAGGGTCCTGGTGATCCAGGTGGGCCTTGAACACCAGGAGGTCCCTGGAAAAAAGAAGCATGGATTCAACTGGAATAAGCTCAGGATATTTTTGTGGTGGGCTACTCGAAATGACAGGCTTTGTCCACCGTGGGTTACACAACAGCAGAAGAATGTTATCTCTCTTGCCTAGCCTAGACTTCTATATTCATTCATACTCAGGCTTGCAAATGAAATTTAACTAAATCAATAGCTAAAAAATGTATGGCAATCAGGGTGTCATACTAACTCTACACTGGGCCGAGGTTTTAGCCTATTTTCTCTCTGAATCAGGTGGATGGCTTCCAAAAGTAAATGTAGCACAGCTATGCAATTACAGAGATTATCACACATCATCACCCACATTTATGTTTCAGAACAAATCACAATGCTCATACAGTTGGCAAAACAAAATGTTAGCAGGGATTAGAGTATGTCTTAGATTTGAGACTGACAACATTGAGTATGTGGTTTATTTCAATTCTTCAACACTTACCGGTGGTCCCTGTAGCCCTGGGCTACCGTCTTCACCTTTCTCACCATCAGGTCCCTGTGGAAATAAGGAGGAAATCAAACTGAAGAAATCAAACTCTGTAAAATTAAACTTTCTTTACTTTTCTTCCTGAGTCTTCATTCTTTGAAGGATCATAATCCTTCTTCATTCAAACTCAAAATAATGGAAATGGCATGAGCATAAGCAGATAGATATCTTGTGCAGATTTTCGGACAGAAGGAGAGGATGTCTGACTGTAAGTGGATTAGCACAAAATGCTAGCTGTAGTCCTTTGAAAGGATGTGTTTACTGAAGCACATACATCAGTCATAATACATATATGTGATATATACCTGCACACCTGGTAGACCCCTTTCCCCAGGAAAGCCTTGTATTCCTGGTGGTCCCTCATTTCCTGGGGGACCAATCTGTCCTGGCCTGCCCTGTAGATAAAATGAAGTTCAGATACTAGAAGTAATATAAATGTAGTTATTGTTTTGGATACAAAAGTAAACAGGAAAACTATAAATGAAGGACTGGCAAAGTAACAATTTTTTTGAAAAGAATGCAAATCAGGACTTAATACAGAAATTACAAAATTGGGACTGAAAATGAAATATCTTGAATATTTGTTTGACAACCACTACAATGATGTCTACGTTAAATACTAAAAGCTGAGTCATGGAATTGAACAAATAGTGTTGCAGCAGTTGGAGAAAGGTAAACTGAAAGCCAAAGGCCAATTCCAAAAGTGAAATATTTTATACTGTTGATTACGTCATTGTTATTTTTCTTTGTGAATGAAGAACCTTTTGTAACAACATGAAAGTAGAAATAAGTAGTAAATAGTACCTTTTATTTACACTTTTTTTTTCGGAAAGCTTCTCGTCGTTGATGAATGACAGAAAATGAGCTTGACAAATGTCCACTTTGCATGTAGTGGAACTGCCCAAACCCATCCAAGATATAGAGGCAATGACCATGTACAGTGGATATGACCTATATGTATTAAACAACTGCCAATAGTATGTAACTACCTACCGGTAGGCCTGGGGAACCAGCCTCTCCTGGCAAGCCGGATTCCCCTGGAGCTCCTGGACCTCCTGAAAAGCCCTGTGGTCCATCCGGCCCCTTTTCTCCTGGTGGACCCTACAGTAAAGTAAGTATTCAAAATTTCATCATCTCATAGCTTGATGGACAGTAATATTTGGAAATGACCTAACTGCCTTAAACAGAAACTCAAGCACGCACCAGGGATTGAAAAAAATATCAGGTTAAAGTTAAGGAATCAAAACGAGTAGCCACGGGTCAAACAGACTCTTGAAATCCTGATTACCACACAAATCAACTCATACATTCCTCCCCCACATTTAGTGTGTTGGTCGGGTTGCTATTGAGGAATGAACTTAATTATAAAATATGACAATGCATCCTCACATTACTGTAATTTTTGATACACCACGGCTTACGTTGGTTCTCACGCTGAGCAAAAATGTCCCTGTAGCTTATACTCCAGGGGGCTTATACAGAGAAATTTGAAGAATAAATTCAGTCACCTATCTCAGTCTCGCACTCAATAATTCGTGTACACTTTGTCTCAAAAGTATCACAAAATTTATCCTCCAAACAGAGAATTATTTGCTAACCAAATGTACTTGGACTAGCACCACGTACTGATGATATCGCTATGCATGGCAGCGTGTATCCCATCCCATGTAGGCAACGAGCACAATGACACGCAGCCTAGTACATGTCTCTAAAGTGAATTGGATCACACCATGTAGGGGTGTAGGGGTGTACCCTTAGAACAATTTAATAGCAACTGACACCTGTTATGATACCTTGCAGGGAATAATTTCAGCCAAAAATTTGCGTACAAATTTGCTATACAACATAATTTTTGTATAGTGGTTGGAAAACTTGTATAGGATGCAAAAGATTCTCAGATATCAAAGCTACAAAAAGTGCAGAATGGTTGTGCCAGACTTGCGTGTAACTCTGCTAAATACTGCCACATTTCCTTTGTTAGTTAAATTACATTGGTTGCCTATTTGACAGAGAATTGCATTTAAAATACTTTTAATAACATTTAAGGCTTTGCATGGCTTTGCCCCAGGTTATATCTCAGATCTCAGAATTACTAACACCTTAAATCCCAGTCACATAGGTACAGTCTGCGTAGCTCACAGGACAGGATGATCCTTAGTCATCCCTATCGTAGAACTAAGGCAACTTTTGGAGACTGTGCATATATTTGTGCAGCTCCTAGGCTTTGGAACAACCTGCCCTTTATGTAAGAAATGATAAATTTGTTGGCACATTCAAGATCTCTTTCATAAAGCTTTTTCCAACACCTGATTTTCATTTCTGCTAGTGATGGGTATTGTTATGTGCAGTTGAGTATATTTGTATAGTATCTGCACAATATAAATGTTCCTTATTATTATTATTAAAAGTGGTTGGAAAAACTTGTATAGCAATTTTTTCCATGTTATTGCCGTGCAAATTTACAGCACACAATTACAACATAAACGTATACTAGGTGGGTGCATCACATTAATCGTCGATGTGAAAGTCGAGACTGATTACCAGCTGAAGGCCCATTCATGTAAGTATTCTTTCCTGTATCAACTGTGCTATAGAGAAACAATTTTCCTTATTCGTTCATCTTTTCATGTTTGATACGACTTGGAAAATGGCACAATTAACCGCTAAGTTGGTGTAAGCTGAGTTGTAGTAAGCACCTGGCAGAGTGCCAACTTCTCACCCATAAACATCACCGGAATGGTAAATTACTTCCTTCAACCAATCACGCCATAATACGACATGAATATACACGTACATCACCCCAACCTGTTCGTACAAGTTTGGGCAACGGCTGTTTCTTAACCTCTCGATGATTTTGCCTGGTGTAATATAATGTAAAAAGTACATACACAAGTCAGTCACCAAACAGTCACTGAGCTGTGCTTTCCGGCAGTCAAAGCTCCGCTGCACCATGCGTGCAATAGCCAATGGGCTTGGTATTCAGACACAAGGGTATTTTACTTTTTTTGTGTGTACACATTTTCCCTTGTGCGGAAAGGTGCCCTGTTAAATGTACAGCGTGCTTTACACATGCAAGTTTGTACAAAGAAATTGTACCGTACTTCATTTGTAATGATGCCAAAAATCATTGTATGCCACATACATCGTACATGTACATGTAGCTGTTTACTTTTTACCACTTTTTATAAGCAGAAAACAACAAATCAAAGGTAAAATTGCTGACTGCTATTCTTGGCCACAAAAACGGACACTTTTATTTTCACGTTCCTGGTTGCAAACAGCAACTGCAATTCATTAAAAAAGTGCGTAGTAATGTGGCTGAAAATGCATTGTGAATTGCGATACCGGCAAGAATATTCCCTGCCTTAAAAATGAAATGAATTAACAGCAAAATATTGATATCAGCCAAAATATGATATTGACGGTGCCTACCATGTGCCTATTATTTGCTGAAAAGATCTGATCACCCGTAGAGCACCCTGACCTCCCACAATGCAACACGGGCTCACTGTCATGATATTCCTTGTTTTCGAAAGCGACTCAAAAGATCAGAGCCAGAGTGGGGAGGATGGGCGGGAAGAATTGTTTGTGTACATATTCTCCAGTAGACCTGATCCACACTTAATGTGGGGGGGGGGGTTACAGCACTGTACCTATCCAAACAGTCACTAAATATGCAGAGTGGCACTGGTCTAGGAGAGGAGTTGGCAACAACACAAGTAATGCCAAGAATACACATTCACATATAAACAAGGAGGAGTGTATAAATTTAAGAAACAGTGAATAAACTTCATGATGATTTATCATCTGTCCTTCAGGAGGTCCCTTTGACCTCTGCGCTGCAGACAGTAGGACTGTCCTGCCATTTGCGGTGTCACTCTGCAGGACATCCCTCAAGTGGCAAGAAGTAGAGGGAGACTTCCAACATGCAGCTTTGCAGATGTCTGCAAAGGGAAACATCTCGAGAGTAAGACCAAGATGCAGATACTGCTCTTGCATCATGAACCCTGATGTAGTGTTGACTACGTTCATCAGAGCTTGATGGCCAGACTGGATTAGCTAATCTAATGGCCAACGCCGTCCAGTGGGCAATAGTGACTGATGCTGCTGGATGGTGTGATCTCATGATAGTGATAAGTGACGGGCTTATCGTCCCTCTCATACATCGTTTTATTCAGGTACCACTTCAGGACACAAACAGGACACCGAAGTTTATCCGCATTGTCTCCAGGATGTAAGGAGACGGATAGTGCAAAGATATCGGAAGATGTTAGAAGCAGATCACTGGGAGTTGAGCATTGTTCGAAGAAGGGAAGAGGTTGATGTGAGGCTGCTCTATCATCCTGAGGAGAGTGCGTCTGCCATTACGTTGTCGAACCCTGCCATGTGGATCTTATGCAGGTCAACTGCATGATCCCTTGTCCTTTCCGTTGATGTGGCTTTGGTTGGCAGTGCGAAAGAAGATGCAAGAAAGCCACAAGACTTACTCAAAGACAGAGATGGCATTATCATCTGAAGCCCCTATCATGACTGATTTTGGACACGCCCACTTTGAAGTAAACACGCGCTTGCACAGTGTGTGGTATGGAAAGGCTGCACAGCAGAATCTGTGGTTACCTGGAGCCTCGTAAGTGGGGACTACAGAATGGTCATTCTGCAGATCACAGGGTTTTACATGGTGAGCCGCAGTGGAAATAGATTCACAAAATTTCTCCTGCAGGGCCCCTTGGGGAAACTCCGGATTATGGGGGTGCCAACGGGCATGTAAAAACCCCAACGGCTTGAAGATCGTTAGGTACGGATGCTTGGGGATGTTTGGGGACTGGAGAGATGCAGCAGTAGGTCTGCATCATGATGGCAAATTCTATGGGGCAGAGCTAAAAAAGATGGGAAGACTGCCCTGAAAACACTATTTGCTCGTTCCTGTCTGGGCGCCTGGTGATGTAGTCTTGAATGCCGGTAAGTTTCGGCCTGTAGCGGTCATTAGAGATCACCAGGTAAGGCATGGACTCACTGCCCCGTGGCCTGGGCAGGCCTACCAATGGCAGTGAGAGCTGCCCCAGAAGGCTGTGACAGAGACTCCGAATTAGGTCCGTGTACTGATAGCATATTCATCGGGGCAGCAATCCATTAAGTTGGCCCAGACAGTGCTACTGTCTGGATTATGTCTGGATGCCCACGCTGTAGATACAGGTATGTATGAGGCTAGGGGAAATCCACGTGTAACGGCTGTCTGTTTAAGTGGGGCTGTGGGTCATGTTCATCTAAGGAGGGAGCCTGATGGATTACCGCAATACATGCAAAGTCGAAGACAGATAAGACGAGCATTGACGAGCATTATAAAAGGTCATATTTAAAACAAGGAAAATGTTTCATTTTATTTGTATATTATATTTTTCTGGGGGTCCCAAGTCTTCGTTTTCTTTGTTTTCCATAACTGATAACAGAAGGTATTTGTAAAGTTCCAAGGACCTTTATATAACTTTTTTGCTGCCTCTTTGCCGATGCTCAGTGCTTGTCCAAGAGCTTGTGAAAAAATTCACAAGCTTACTTGGGTGGGACTTAACAAAGTCCTTGTTTAACAAGGTCCTTGTCCCAAGCTTACTCGGGTGGGACAAGGACCTTGTTAAACAATGTTTTACTGCAGTTGTCTTGGAGATGTTCTTCCTGAAGGCCCTAGATAAAGGGCAGGCAATGAGGAGATGCACGGCATGTGTTGCCCGGCACTGTATATACTGGGGCCCATCTGGATTACAAGAGGGAGTGGTCTGGTAAGGCAAAGAGCCTACTTCACGCATGGACGCCCTGTAACAAGAGTATCTGAAGGCAGAGGCTGAAGACGTGGGGCAGTTGGTTGACTGGCACGGGCATGGTTGCTGTCTTCCTCTGGAAGGAGGCTGACGGAGGACTGAGAATCTGGAACATGTCATGGGGGTGAGGATGCTGATGAAATTGGTGTCATCTTCAACCAAAGATGTGGTCACCTGCTTGGACTGAAGTAAGGCCGTGCTATAGTCAAGAGCCAAGGTGCCCAGTAGACTGGTGGGTGAGCACCATCAAACTGGAGTGGACTTTGACGCGTGCCAAGTTCTGGCTACAGACTAGAATATCTCCACGCATATATGATCAAGTGGGAGTTTTGGAAATATTGGCCCAGAAGATTCCAGTCATGCTGTGTCATTTAAACAAGCCATGACTGATGTCCTCCTCTGTCGGAGCTGCTGATGGCAGGCTGAGCACTTGAATTATGTCTCGCTGAAGATGACGGAGGCAGCAATCGGATGGAGTGAGGAATAGAATCAACTAGGGACTGGTCTGCCCAAAATGGGTCCGGGGCGGTGGAGGCCGGTGACAGTATAATGCCGAGGTGGCAAGTGATGGAGGTCAGAGTTTCACTAATGGACTGGAAGGCTGGCATCCAAGCTTTATCCAAGAGGTATATTTGTGATGGTCGGAGCAATGCCTCTTCTTGGGTTTCGAGGAACTTGATAAAGAAGAGAAGCACTGCTTGCCTGTAATACCTGGTGGTGGGCGACCTGGTAGAAGAGGTAGCAGACGGGGCCGTGGGAGGCAGAACGCTTGGGGCGCATTCCCGGTTGAGGTGAATTGGAACAGCAGAAATCCGAGCAGAGGGACCAGGAGAAATGATGTCCGATGACCTGGTGATGCCCAGTTGAAAGCTCAAGCCGTAGATGGACTGTGGCAGCTTGAAGCTCCGGCGGCGCAAAAACCTGGTAGGCTCCATGAAACCCCAAGAAAGTGGGTGTCGGGGTGTCATGGCTCGACGGCATATCAGGTGGGGCGAAGTGCATAGTGTACTTCACTATGATGTTAGGACAGGCCCGGGAGACGTCTCTTGGGAGTCCCGGCCGGCTTGCCAGGCTAGCAATTGACCAAGGAGACAGGATCCTTGCCAGATCCTGGCAGTGTCCCTGCTCAGGTCTTCCAGAGTTGACCACAAAGCTTCTCCGTCAGCTCCGTGGGGCTGAACGAACCTGGGGCCTGACCAGATCCTGGCTGGACTCCCCCTCAACGATGGCAAGGCCTTTTCCTCGTCCTGGTAGCTGGAGAAAACAGGGGAGTATGACAGATCCTGACAGCAACCCCCTGAATTCAACCGGCTAAGGTCTATAATTCACTGGTAGGGTAGACACAGCATATACACGAAAAGAACACTCTTACCAATAAATGGATGAAATCAATGTAATACTTTCTTAACGAAGGAAGGAAAGGTGATCAAATCGATTGTGTATCGAAAAAGGAAGCTCAAAATATCGAAGATACCTTGAAAGACACGTCCATTACGTAACAGCATTAAGAAAAGAAGGGAGGTCACGATGCACCCTGGTGATCATATCTTTTCAGTGAATAAAAAATAGGCACATGGGATATTGGCATATGTAGTGACTGTTTTGGTAGGTAGAGTGCCGTAGACTTAGTTATTTTTCCATCCAACTGGCCAGTTTGGTGTAGTTCACAATGGCTTTTCTCCAGATATAGTATGCCTAGTTAATACTACTTACCTGGGGTCCAATCACACCAGCTGGCCCTGGTGGGCCTGGTTTACCCTCCAATCCCTGCCACAAAAAAACACAGTGTTCGTACATCAAGAAAGGGATCATCTAAAATGTTATTATAACAAATATATTGTTTTACTGTAAAATGTCTTCTTTACAAGTGACCTCCATAATTGAGAAAAAATGTTTTAAAAGCTTTGCTTTAAAAAAACAATGATGTACAAATATGTAGATGACCTTTATGTTGAAATTTTGCTATATAAAAATCCTAAGAGAAAGGTAAACTAGAGAAATCAACCAATTGAATGCAAAGTGGAATTCTAGAAAATATGTAAGCTAATTAAATTTATGAACTCACTGGCTCTCCGCGAGCACCAGGGAAGCCTGGAATACCATCCTGACCAATAGGGCCTGGGGGGCCTTTGGGACCTTGGAACCCACGTGGACCATTTGCCCCGGCTGGACCCTGCAACCAAAGCAGACATCATGAAAATGCAAAACACAACATTATTGAAATGTTCAAATGTGGCTTTGACAACTGAACAATTAGGAGACACTGTATTACTAAGTAAAAATAGAAGCAGTCCACATTCATATAGCATGTTTTCAGATGCACACCAAGAACTATGATGAAAACAGACAAAAGAGAAAATTCATCTGTGATTACCAGCAATTTAAGAACAAAGGTTTTTGAGGATCAATAAACATAAACTGCCCCTAGCTGGTTAAGCAGATAGTAGAAATACACCAGAAAACATCCAGAATTGAAAAAAAAAATTCTACACTATATATGACATCAGTGAAAGAATGATGCCTTACCCGATTACCAGAAAGACCAATGGGTCCTGGAGGGCCTTCCTCACCCTGCCAAAACAACCAAAAGGGTTAGCACAATGCAAACTATATGTAACATTACAAATGTCTGAACTCTAAGCAAAAATAACTAAACAAACGTAAAATTGTGGCATCAAATCAACGATTCATACTGTGAATTCCCAAAAGTTGAACACAATTTAACTAAAGCCAAAAGTTGTGATTTACAACGTACTGCGCCACCAAGAGGTTGCTATAGAGAGGGCATTTTTCAAGATCACAGTCCCCAAAAGCATAGGTGCCTTGCTGCAATTTCTATTTGACTGTATGTCAGTAGACAACTTGGGGAAATTTTTGATAGATTGGGACATTCCATGCAAAAGAAAGAAGACGGGATTAATTGAAACTGCTATACATCAGGAATAATTCAAGTTCCCTGTGCACAGCTGGAATATAGAATTTGTCAACTATTTCTCACAATACACTGCAAAAATGGCCTTTCCGGGGTAACCTCTTGATGGTGCTCTGTGTCTGGTCTGTGACGTTACAATACATGCACTCACACCACTGATTACAAGCTCCCATTGGATGAAAACTGAAGTTGCGCATTAAATCCACTTCCATGGTTCCATGTAATTCAATGTACAGTGGATGGGTTTTTATTGGAGTGATGTCACACTTTAATACAAACCAGATTGTGATATCAACCATGAAATCAAATTTGCTTTGCTTTTGTGTTTGCGTGAAATATGAACTGGCCTTAAGACTCAAACACAGCATTCTACAAGTTAAGAACAGACAGCAAGTTGTTTTACATTTTAAGTTTACAAAACAAACCAATCTTCTCATTGAGTTGTATTGTATGTGTTTTTTCAAAATATTAATTTTCTTTTCTGAGCAAAGTTTGAGGGAATATGATGTCCTGTAATGACTAAAAATGCTTGTTTATAATTACAGGTCTTCATAGAGTTTAAAAGTACTCTTTACTATGGCACCAAAGTGCACAACAGCTAAAAAAGTTGTGAGTGGTGTAATTCATTTTATCATGTCAATGATCAAATGTAATATACCCAGCAAAGGGTTCATCTTCTTGCTTCTCTGGGGATAGCATCCAGTTCACTGACTGCAATCTTTGGGTCTGCGATTCCATGCTTATGGAAAGTGGTATGCTTATGCATGCATTATGTTCTAAATTATTAAAGTGTGGTAATGCTTGGGCCTTATCAGTATGTTGGTACATGCATACATTATCACAGTATCAATACTGTTATGCATGTAAGCATGCGGTATGTTCAGTTCACATACTGTCATGGGCGGATGGTTTAAGTCCACTGTTACAGACTGGTGTCACTGGCAATGCTAAGCTATTTACATGTATATGGTTTTGGAGATCCAAGATTCTTCCAGTGTCCAATCAGAATTGATGTGGGGGCTAGCACTGATTAGTCAGTTATGGTAACTTGCAGCTAATCGGGCCTGCTTGGGTTTTTCCATTATAAGGGGAATTTGTTGGCTTCTAGGCCTATTAACTTTGTGACAGCTTTGATGTGAAACAATTTGTTCAGCCCACCACCTCCCCTAAATCTCCACCATAGTTTTTGTAGTGCCTTTCGGTTTTGTTGGGGCCAATTTAATGGGGGCGTTAGACTGATTTTAAGTTGGCAATTTTTTGACAGAAAATGACGATAAAAAATGTTACTGAGCATAAATTCAATGCATTAAGCCAACTATTATTGGGTGGTCTCTATTAGTAAGAGCAAAGGATTAATGATTTTTCTAACAATGCTACCTTTTGCTTCCAGTCAGGCTATGGAAGAGCTCATTTTCCAACTTGGGGAATTGGGATTGTTTATTAGGACATGATAGAATTCACCAAAACTGGGTGAACGGCTTGCAAATTAGATTTATGGTGCCCTTCAGTTTCATTGAAACCAACTTTCCCCTCATTGTCCAACTTGAGGGTTAATTCTGTAGGACTTATAAATTGTTGAAGTTATGTAATGATTACATAATAATAAGGGTAATGTTAAGGCAAGGTATGTTACATTTGGTTTTTTTTGTGGAGGTTAGATACTAGTAGATGACCTGTATTGGGGTCTCCTGACATGTTCATATTATGTAGGTGCATATGGCATGATTGTTCAAGTGGTTGGTAAAGATAAGGACTGTATGGTGTCGCCACAATTGGGTTATGATGGTGGAGTCATAAAATCTATTTTGAATGGAGGTGGTAGGCCATTATTTACATACAAATTAACTATTGTGTCCTATGTGTTTGTATAACCAGTTTGCCCAGTGCAGGTACTGGAAATATTTCATGTGGTGTACGTTCCTTATCAATTACAGGTTCGAGCAAGAAATAAATTTCAGTGTTATGCTTTAGCAGAAAAATTGATATATGTTTCCATTCCCCTTCTTTGTCTGATTATAATGTAACTATTTATATCTAGTGACATGGTCAGCTATCTTCTCCCACAGAAATGTGGGTAAGGTCTGCTATTGAATACCTACCCCAAACAATTGCTAAATATG